GAGAATCAGTGTCCAAACGGGTCCTAAGAATACAACAATTTATATAATTGGTTGAATCAAGTGATCGACGTTGGAAAAAAAATCAAGTGATTGAATTAATAAGAGATATAAGAATTCAAATAATTGTAAAGAAAAGTGATTCAAGTTCATCAAACTAATCATATATATAAGTTATTTTCCTCCATTTGGTTTGTACATTTTCCTTAAGGAAAACATTAACTTTTAACAATTTAGGCTAATCATTGAAGAATTTCTTTTTACGTACCAAAGATTCCTTCTTTAATTTGATAAACAGATCTATAAATGATATTTGCTCATACGTTAAAAGCTAGTAATCTTTTGCTTTAATTTTATGGGCTTAGCTGTTTGTACTGGAGACCTTTCTATAATAACAAACTTATATAATAACACCTTATTATAAAAGCTAAGCTTTTGCGGAATCAATTTTAATATTATATTAATATATATTCTTTATAATAATACTTTACTATAATATCCAAAAATATTCGGAACAAACGAGGTTGTTATAGAGAGATTTGACTGTACGATAGTTTGTGGTTAAGTATGACTATTTATGTGTAGCAGTTTTTACTTAATAAGCATCTTATTCTCCACCGCTCACTACTATTATTCTTTTATTATAGTGTCTTTAATTATAAGTTAATTTAGCTCTGCATGAAAGCTTTCGAACGTGTATCGTGTCAAGCATTATGGCCTTACACTTAAGTAGGTTACAATATATAGCTGTACAATTAATTACTATTTTTTAAAAACTATAATCTTGTGGTCCTCAGCAATTTGTATTGCTAACCCGTAACAAGCTAATTTTTAGCTGTTATGTGGCATCTCTTGGTAAATGAAGATGACGCGAAAATAAGACATCTTTAAAATATTATTTTTAAATTAAAATGATTATCCTTCTCATTAAGCTAATTGTTGATCACCTTACTATATTTTTATTTTTATTCTACTTTTGAATGCCTTTTTGGTACTGTTTTTCTGTGTCTATATTTTTATTAATGTGATGCTTATACTTTCCAGAGCTGAGGATCTATTGGAAACAATCTCTCTATCCTCACAAGGTAGGTGTGAGGTCTGCGTACACTCTTCCCTCCGCAAACTCCACAGTGTGGTGGGATAACACTGGATATGTTGTTGTAATTGATCATATTAGGGTTTCATATTGAGAAATAGATCGTTTTATTATAATTGAATTAATTAACTCTATACTCAGTATAAATTTTTGAGAATAAGTATATGGTTCTATTTGTAATTAACAAATTATTATCACACACCAAATAATCACGCCGTAAAACATGATAATATGATATATAGATGAAAATTGAGTTGATAGCCAATATAGTTGGTGATGTTCTATTTCCACGTAAATATTCAAAAAGAAGGAATCTCTGTATAATTATTCAAAAGATTGACATGTTTTTAAGTAATCACTTACCCAAAAAAATCAGTGTTTTAAAAAACCTTTTAATGTGTAAGGAATTAAGGCATACGAGTAAAACAAATCTAGAAATAGTAATAAAATCACAAACTAGTTAACATCCTTTCTTAGAAACCTATAGACCTATGGAAAATGAGTTTGAATGTAAAATTAGTGCAGAAAAAGGAAGCAAATTAAAAGTCATGTTAACCATTTGATTACAAAATAATTTAACTGCAATAACGGGTAAGAAATCTCATTACGCTTATTCTTAGATGATGTTAAGCAATGAGTTGATTTTAGAAAGGTGATATCTTTTCAAATTCCATACGATATTATAAGATTTTCCTTCTATTCATATTTTTGGAGAATCAATGTTTTTTGAAGATACACACACAACTTCGTAAAGACCAACAATTTTGAAAATAACGTTAATTAAATTTCCTTTAGTTTTCTTTTGGGTCAGATTCCTTTAGTTGTTAAATGTTGCTGGCTTCATTCTGATTTTCTTTTTTGACCAAAGGCTTCATTGTGATAAAAACAAACTATCATTTAGAATTTAATTGTATTTTGGAAATGACGATTTCTTTAAGTTGAAGGATTTAGTCAAAAATCTTCTAAGCACAAAAGATCAAGAATATTGTGTGCCTTGACATGCATCCAATTAGCGGAAGAGAAATCCAATATTAGATATTTAAAAAAGAATAAATCATTTTTTAGAGAGGACCACTATAACCTTCTATGTAGGTCACTAAACATAACAAAAGGTCAGGATAGAAAGTTTTGAACATCTTTCATATTACTACGGTAAAAGTTTCCCTTAGGTTAAGGGAATTGTAACCATTTATATTTATAATACAAAATATTATTTTTTACGATGAAGGAGATTTTTTTTCAATTGACCCCCCTCCATGAAAGTAGCTATGCCCCTACAGTGATTAACTTTTTTTTGTTTCCCATCTGGTGTTCGATGTCCGCATTGGAGCCCGATTATATCCGAATTCGTGCCGGATTATATCGGGGGGGTAGCGCTCCCTACCAAGGATTTTTCCATCCCCAGAGCTCGTACCTAAGGCCTCTGGTTAAGTGAGGAACAGTCTCATCCACTGCATCACATTAACTTCATTTCGTAATAATGTTATTCGAATGCTCAGTAATATTAAAATGCGAGAATCATATTATTGTCTTTTAAATATATAATAATTAACATTATCAGGAGTATGGAAAAATATTAATTAAGTTAACATAATTGATCATAAAAATTCAAACTCGAAATTTTATGAGCCAATTCCAATAAACGAGAGAAGGCAAATGATAAAAGATTACACATAGGTAGAAAGGGAGATCAAAATGAAGAAGAGAAAAAAGAATAAGAAAACCGGCCGAAAACAATGACAAAAGAAAAGCCGAAAAAGAGCGGGGGTATTGTCATGTGTGGACGTAATAATATTGGTCGGCAGATCTCAACTTAATTGACAAGCCATCTTAATTATCGCCCCCAATTTACCAAATCATTCCTCCCAACAAAATTCAAAAAATAATTTTAAAAAGAAAAAAATGTGAAGGAGAAATAAATACTGTGCCACGTGTATTGACACATCACCGTCGATTTAAAGAACTACGAGGACTCTATTGAGTGGAAAACACGCAAAGTACCCTTTTTTTATCTGTCTACGTGGCGTCAGAGCTGGACATTCGAACCACCCAAAAAGAGTCTTTCTCGATCCAAACGTCATTGTTCCTTGTTTTCTTTAAGTGGGCGTTTGGACATAAGAATGGTAAAATTACAAAAAAAAAAAAAAAGTGAATGTTTTTTTAAGTAAAAATAATATTTGAAAATTAGATTTGTGTTTTGGACTTGAATTTAATTTTTGGTTGTTTTTGAAGTTTTGTGAGTGATATGAGTAAAAATTTTGAAAATAACTTTTTGGAGTTTCTCAAATTTTCGAAAAACTTCAAAATTAATTTTCAAGTGAAATTACAAATTTTATGGCAAAACACTGATTTTGAAAAAAAAAAAAGTTTTCGAAAAAAAGTGAAAAAATTCCTATGTTCAAACGCGCTCTAAATGTTTTTTTTTCAGGGCTCAAACTTATGTTAAAGTAAAATTGAATTAATTTTGTTAGTTCCTTTTGAAAACCTTTACTATTGAGAAAAATGGAAAAGAACTTTAATTGGAAAAGTAAATTTGTTTTGTACATATTCTAATTGAAAGGGGAAAAGGAGATGATATTTCACTGGAGAAAACCCCGACAAGGATTAATAAATTAGGCAAATGATATATTGTTTCCTTCTATAGAAACTTTAGTTTTGACAATTTATTAAAATGTAGTACAAGAATAAATTTATTTCACATTTAAGCATTTAAATGGGTAGTCCATCTAGTCACTAAGATGGGGTTTTATATTCTTTCCATTTTTGTGTTACAATATTACAAATACATATCCTACAAGCAGTGACGGAGTTATATATTTTTTTAAGGGGGTTTAAATTTAAAAAAAAGTTAAAAATTTTCAACAAAGAGTATTCAATATATTTTATATATCTCTAATACGTAATATTTTACTTATATGTATATTGTAATTTTTTGACAAAAGATAGTCAATTTGACTACACTTAAACCTGTTTGGCTATAGATTTTGCCAAAATATATTTGAATTTTTTTTGGCAAATACATGTTTGGCCATGATTTTATCTGCATTTTGGAAAATTCCCAAAATTCAAAGCCAAAATCCCAAAATTTGGCCCAAAATATCACTATTACATTTTTAAAAAATTACCCAAATTTTTGTATTTTATAAAAGAGCCCACAATTTATTATTTGTAACAATGATGCTTTGTCTTCTCGGTTATCTTTAGTTCATTATAAAAATGATAATTTTGTACTAAATTTATTTATGTTCAAGATTATGATTTGCGATAATATAATGAATGTTATTGATAAAGGTTATATTGGATATTTGTGATAGTTTTTAGAATTTGTGATTATAAGTCATGTTTTTCTAAAAAAAAAGTAAAATATATTTTGAAAACTTATATCCAAACACATTTTCATCTTCAAACCAAACTTCACCTAAATCATATTTTTCAAAATAAGTTTGGAAATCTATGACCCAGCGCTAGCGTAGGACCATTGTGGCTTTGCCCCTCCCTGCCTACAAACCTGAAAATTGTTGGAGTGTCTCAAACTATAATATTGAATAAGTGAAATTAAATTATTGTAATAATGTTGATTAAATAAAAAAGTAGTTATCAAACGAATATCATAATGTATTTTTCCAACTTGGATGCTAAATTAATTGATTAGTTTTTGTGTGTAATCTAAAAATTTAAAAAAAAGAAAAGAAATAAAATGGGAATTAAGACATTGAAAAATTAGGTCAGTGCCGGCGGGTAATTGGGAGCAAGCAGTAGTCACGGCATGTGAAAGAGCAACACGACCCACGCTTTGTTTAAAGTCATTGCCCCAAAAATATTAAACAAAAAAAAAGTAAAAAACATTAAGTAATTAATTAGAAATTTTTTATATAAATACTGAGGATAGTGAGAGGGAAAGTAAGCAAAGCGTGCTTTGCGGAATTTGCGAGTGAGTAGAGAGAGAAAGTAAATACCCACCAAATTAAACCAGAAACGCTTCTTTTTAGAGAGAGAAAGTGGATTTTGTAGAGAGACAAAGATCATAGAAATACAAGGTAACACCACAAATTCAAATACACTGAGAAGAAAGAGAGAACGAAGAAGAAGAAGAAAAAGACTTGTTCAGAGTTGAGTAGTCGTGGTCTAAACGGGATTTTTGGAGTTGTTTTTGGGTCCGTTGTGGTTCAGATTTATCAGAGATTTATATCAAAACGGGGTTTTATAAACTGAACCCCGTCTTCAACTCTATCACTGTGATTTTGTAATAGTTTTTCTCAGTTTGAGGAAATTAATTGAAGAAAAGGAGAAATATGGAGTGGCCTGCTTATTTAGATGAATATGAAAAGCTTGTTTTCCGTATGACTACTCCAAGGTCAGTTAAATTTTGTGTTACTCTCTCTGTTTTTCCTTTTTTGTGTTTTTGAAATGATTTTTCTTAATATTCAACTTAACAGTAAGATTTGTCATCTAATTATGATTTGAGAAGAATAATCAGTGTTTTTAAGTGAAGATTATGTATACTTCATACCTTAGTCCATTTTTAATTTTGATATTTCTTCCTCTACACGTTAGTCTTGACTCTTCCTCTTTCCAGAAGTTTTCACTTCTCCGATTGACTTTTCCTTATGACTGAGTTATTTTTGTTAATTTTCAACTTTTCAAATTTCAAAAAATATTCCGAATTAGTGGCCATTTCTGAATAGTCTCTATCACTGGTGTTTTACAGGGTCATGATCGACAATGCTGGTTGTTCAAATTCTACTCGCGTTATGGTATGTCACCTTCTTCCAATTTGCTGGAATATTTTCAATTTTTTTGTCTTAGTGTTTATTAGTATAAAATCATTTTTGCTTATTTTAATTAGTCCATTTTTTTGGGGGATTTTAACAGATTGATAGTGCGAGAAAACATGGAATACTTCTGGAAGCGGTACAAGTTCTTACGGATCTGAACCTTTCAATAAAAAAAGCTTACATCTCGTCAGACGGTCGGTGGTTTATGGACGGTGAGCGCAATTTATGGAAACCCACCCCTTTTTGCTAAAGTTCGCCTTTTGCTAAAGTGCGCACCTCATCACTGCGCACGTTAAGCAGATCTTTTATTCCGTAGTGTAGGAATAAATATCAAGGCGTACGTTAGCTGCTTGCTTAGTTCTCCTCTAGTATCAACTTTTTTACCTTTGAATATTTGTGAGTACTAATTTGTGCCGTTTCAACTCGTTTTTAATGTACAGTGTTTCACGTTACTGATTTGGATGGAAACAAATTAACGGACGAGAGTGTCATCAGTTACATTGAACAGGTATTTAATTTACTTAAATGTCAAAAATAATTGCATTTTATTTGTGCGTAATTTAGATTTACATTTTTGTACTAATTTTGAACCCTTTTTATGTTCTTGAACAGTCATTAGGGACTATTCATTTTGCAAGTGCAAAGTGCTTTGATGGTTTGACAGCACTGGAATTAACTGGGACGGATCGAATCGGCCTATTATCGGAGGTTTTTGCAGTACTCTCAGAATTACAGTGCAATATAGTTGAAGCTAATGTGTGGACTCACAATGGTCGAATTGCATCCCTAATTTATGTAAAGGAAGGGGATTCAGGGTCCCCGATTGAGGACTCTCAGAAGATAGACACGATTGAAGCTCGTTTAAGGAATGTGCTCAAGGGAGATAATGACATTCGTAGTGCTAAAACATCAGTGTCTATGGCTGTCACTCATACTGAAAGGAGGCTTCACCAGATGATGTTTGCAGATCGCGACTATGAAAGGAAGCCGGTTATTAGGACTAACGATAACCCTATTGTATCAGTATTGAATTGCTTGGAAAAGGGTTATTCCGTGATAAATGTTCAGTGCAAGGATCGACCTAATCTTCTGTTTGATGTGGTTTGCACCTTGACAGACATGCAATATGTTGTGTTCCATGCCACAGTTAATACAGCAGGGGACAGAGCATACTTGGTATATATTCCTTCACTTACTTTTCATTGCTTTTTTCATTGAGTATTCTTTAATGATATTTACAGGAATTTACAAATTTGCTTAACTTCTGTTACAATCTTGTCTCAGGAATTCTTCATTAGGCATACAGATGGAAGTCCGATTAGTTCAGAAGCAGAAAAGCAACGCGTGATTTTATGTCTACGAGCTGCAATAGAGCGAAGAGCATCTGAGGTATATTGCTTATGCTCTAATTGCTTCCTTAAAGAACATTGGCTTGTACTATAGTATTTCATTTCTTCTAATTTGAAATACTTGTATTTGGATTACAGGGAGTGAGGCTAGAGTTATGCACCGGAGATAAGCAAGGTCTATTGGCTGAAGTAACGCGAACTTTCCGAGAAAATGGTTTAAATGTGACAAGGGCAGAGATATCCACAACAAGTGATAATACAGCTCTAAATGTGTTCTATGTAACAGATGCTAATGGAAATCCAGCAGATCCAAAGATCATTGATTCTGTTAGGCAGAAAATTGGATTGAGTGACTTGAAAGTGAAGGAATTGCCATTGATCTATCATCAAAAGGCAGATGAGAGGGAAGAGCCCACAGTAGGGGCAGGTGGGACAATGTTGCTTTCACTTGGTAGCATTGTAAGGAAGAATCTATACAATTTGGGATTGATCAAGTCATATTCTTGAAGGTCAGCACAAAATTATTACCAATTAGATTTGTCCCAATCTTTGGTGTTGGGCATGTGTACATAGCTTAAAGATTACTGAAAATGAAAGGGGATTTGGTAATAGTAGTTGTTATAGTTGAGCTTGGTTGGCTGAAAGGATAGACACATACAAGAAGTTGATGTTATTTTGGGGGTCCAGGTTAGAATTTTAAACAGAGAAAAATGGGAAAGAGAAGAAAGGATGTTAGTTGGTTGGCTTGTGGTTATAAAATTTGTTTGGTGGAAGATTAGAGGCAAAGGCAGGCTGGCAAGCAATGATACAAAAGAAGATGATAGGGTTGTAGACAGAGAAATTTGGTTTTAGAATAGTACACATTTGTACATAGTCGTTATTATTATAATGTTAGCTTCTAATGTTTGACTTAGTTGTTTATACTTACGATGCCCTTTTTCTTGGTGTTGTCCATTTGGGACTGCAAACAAGAATCTAGTCTTTGTAAATATTATAGATTATTTGGTTTTTTTCAGGTCCTACAAATTGCTGGATTTCTTTTTCTCGTTTTGATTTACTGTGCATGTATTGTTGACCACGAAACATTGACTTTGGTTTTTTAGCAATCCGCGTTGCCACGCTGTTGCCTGTGGTGAAGACATTTGAAATTTGGTCCGAAGAAATAATGTTTAAATTCCATAATGGACAGTTATTATCAATTAAAAAGTAATTTAGGTGATAATATTACAATCAGTAAAAGCTGGTAATTTAGAAAACGTGAAGAAGTAATTTTTTTTTTCCTTCTACGGACGAACTCTTTACAACATGGAAAATATTACTCTTTACGACGGAAAAATTTACTCATTGAAATTATTTATACTGTCGATGAATGAACAATATAATTAGGGCTCGTTTGATACGAGGAATAATAGATAATTAATCTCAGGATTAAATTTGAGATGAGTTTACCTTACGTTTGGTTGGGATAAAATCGTGGTATAACTAATCTCGGGATTAGTAATCCCGGGTGTATAATGTTTTTTTATCTCACAGGAGACAACTGAGATAACTAATTCCTGGATAATTAATTATGGAAAAACTTATTCCCAACCAAACGATCCCTTAATGAAAGGAAAATGTAAGACCGACATTTGAATAAAAAAACTTCTAAAATCAAAGAGAAATGTCGAACAGATTCTGGAAGTTGTCTTTTTTAATTTGAAAATTCAAAGTTGTTGACATTGTTGTTGAAGTTGGGAAAGAGCCCCAACTGAATTCCCTAAAATGATAAGAGTCTAGTGTTTGATTTAAACCCTGTAATCTATATATCATTTCATGAGTAACATTTAGTTAATCTTTAGTGGTTGGTGTAGTCATGTTTGTTTATCCACCGGGGCTATATATCGGTGGAGTACTCTTTTATCTTTAATCAGATGTTTCTAGTTCAAGCCTCAGATATTGAATCACTTTTATTAGGGAGCATTTTTTCTCTCAACGTGGAACATTTCGATGTGAATTCAGATTATCGAGCTCCAATGTGAGTACGGGTGGGAAAATAAAAAATGCAGAGATGTTCTTTTTCACTCTTTTACGTGTATTTTTTGGGGTGAGGGGCTTCTGAATTTCGTTTCGCCAGTTGCTTTCATATACTATGTATAGATTCTGATTTCATTTGTGCTTAGTTCTTGTCTTATTGTCACTACAAAGGCTAATATATGAGCTACAATTAATAAATTAGAGCATTGGATAGGCCAAATTCCAAATTATTAAATTAATAATCGGGTCTCAAAAATGAATTAGATAAAACAAATGACAATTTGCAAAGTATCTGGCATAAAGTGATGAAAGGTTTGGGAGACGGCTATTTTGTCTTTCTTTTTCTTGTTATTACAGACCCTGTCTGGTACATGCCAACACTATGGACATTTTCCCTCGTTCTCTTTACTGAAACTCAACTAGTTCAATTTTTATTTGGCCGAAAAAATATCTAAAATTTGGATCTCATTACCAACAACATACTTTTAAAGTATAAAATTGTATTCGTTTTTGGTAATAAAATTATATTAACAATAGTCGTCTATGATTGACAGGGACAGAGCTAGAAGATCGGTACTGGTTTGAGTGAACTAGCTTTTGCTCAAATAATATATTTGTATTAAAAAATTTATTAAATATATATAATATTAATTTAAAACTCAATTATTAATAATTATATCATCATCTAAAATTTATAAAGTTAAAATCCTTGCGCAAATGCGCCGATGAAGGCGTGGGTGTAGAGAAGACATCCGAATCTGAATCTAATCACATGCAGATGCAGTGAAAGTGAAAAGGGCAAGTCAAAGCATCGATATGGAGCATACATGAGAAGATGAATTTAAAGATTAATTACTTTAATAATAAGGAATGAGAATGCCTTTGCTTCCCCCTTTTTTTTTCCTGATTGGCTCTACTTTTTATATGTTTTAACGCATAAAAAGGGTTTTTCTACAGCTCGCTCCAAAAGTTACGTTTGTTTTCTTTTGCTTTGTCTCTAGGTTTTCTTAAGATTCATGCCCTTCTCCTCTTTCTTTTGATCGAGGCAGATTCGTAAGAATGCCTTTTCTAGTTTTATCTCTCTTTTTTTTCTTTTAAAAAATATTCCAGTTGTTTCTTATGTGCAAGAAATAAGCCTAACTTAACCATATACAAGAGATTTAATTTTATACAGTTAGGTCACTAAAAAATACGTGTAATAGTCCATACAACAATAACAAGAACAATAATAACAAATTTAGTATAGTCCCACAAGTGGAGTCTGGCTTAGGCGTAGGTACTATGTTTGAAGTAGCATCACGTGACACCGCTTCGTCAAAATTTTCTCATAATTTGTATGTATAAATAATAAATAAAATTAAATATTGAGTATAAATATATAAAAAAAGACATTGCTTACCATTATAGTAATTTATTTATTTATTCACTTCTAATATTGACAACGCTTACGAGAATTACTACATACGTCGTCCACTGGGGTCTGGGACATGTAATAGTCCATAATAACTTAAGTTAGTTACTTGAAAAATAAGACAAATAACTTCTTAAAATGTATTAATATATGCTGATAGTAATTTAAAAAAAAAAATATATTAAGTGTATATAATTAAGTTAGATCCATTATTTTCTTTGAAGAACGAGTAAAGAAGGAAACAAAAAAAGGCACAATGGGTTTAAAAAGGACGTTGAGAATTATAAGGAACTTTGAATTTGCCAACCTATCAAATATGGTGTTGAGTTTCGTTTTAATATAGAAAGGTATTAAAAAGAGGGTGAATGGGAAATGGAGTGAAATGAAAATTTTGAGTAAAATTTTAAGTTTTTCTTTCCTTTTAATGAGACATTGTCCCTCATTGGTAGAGGAAAAGGAGTTTGGTAGGTTTATATACAAATGCACTTAATGTAGCTCTTAAAGAGTTAAGAAAGAAGACAAGTCTCGCGCCGTCGTCGCTCGGCTCGGCTACGGCTACGGTCAAATGATCGATTGATTGAATAATTTATTTATTAATAGTAGATAGTAGATATTAACGTAATATTATTCGTGTTTTATAACAGATATGTTCCAATCCGTGTATTGTACCACCAGTTGCAATAGCAGCCGCCTAGTGCTCCTCCCACCATGGCTAAGTGCTTGCTCCATAACAAGCTAGTGAATGCTCCACCATGGAGAGGGGGCGGGTCTCACAACTGACTGCTATAAATATGAGCAGCAGCAGTTGGAGAATCACACACCAAAAAAACAGAATTGAGAGCTATTGATCTTCTCTTCACCGAAAACTCAACGTTGGCTATAATTTGCATTCCTTCCTCTCAAAATTTCCATTCGAATTCTGAGTTCTCCTCCCTTGTTCTGCATTGTTTTAAACTACAAACAAAGCATTCGTAAGTGTGATTTGCTGCCAAACTTTGTGTTCGCTGAAACACTGAGGGTTTGAAGTACCGCTACACCAGTGTGTAATTCGTTCTATCCTGGGAGGAAATAATCCATAACCTTGAGTACTAGGAGATGATTAAATTCCTTAAAGAAACACTATGTATTCAGTGGGCTCGAATTAATTTTTATTTTATTTATATTTACGTTTATAAGCTAATGTTCTAATTTCCAGAATCATTATTTACAAAATACAGGCATAGTAACATATAGTAGGGTTGATATACTAACACTGTGATTAGTATCTTTGTGTAAAATTGGCCTTTGCATCAATTAAACATATGAATGCCCGATGTCAATCTTCTAGATTGATACTTACATACAATTAGAATAAAAATAAAGCAACACTTGATCATACAAAAGCATAAGAATAAATAAATTATATTCCTTATTAGGCAATAGCATAAACTACAAAGAATCTAGCTTCAAGCAGATTTTTACTACACTATTTCCATTTCAGATTACTTTTAGATCGGTTCTTAATTATTGAATATTTCACATCACTCATACTCTTTATGTTACGATCTTGAAATCGAAACTTTTCTGTAGTCCTTAAAAATTGCCACTAGCAATATTTTAAAATGATTTATTTTGCCTAAAGATAATATCTCCAGCTAGGGTCTTATACATTTACTTAATTGAATAGCAATATGACACTTTTCTTTCTTTAATGTTAAGTTATGCATCTCTTAGCATCTTTAATTTTCGTTTGGGTAATAGTCGTTATGTGGAAAGACCTTGTTGTATTTTTTTTTTTTCATTTTAGTAGAAGATTGGAAAAAGCAATTCCACAGAAAGGATTTTCTTGAATTAGAATATAAAAATTCTTATTCTTTACCGTACATGGCATCTTTAACAAAGTCTTCCAGAATTAGCATGACAACAAAGAAAGGAATCTAGCGATAGACAGCAAAGAGTCACGGTTGGCAAACTTTAACAAGAAAATCTAGAGAGAAAAAAAAAATACCCTTCTAATTCATCAACGAGAATATTATACTTATATAGTACTAATTAATTGGAAGGGGAGCCTTGGAACGATACTAAAATGTTTTTTTTGTGATCGAAAGGTCATGAGTTCGAGTCATGAAAGCAATACTAGTGCTTGTATTAGGATAGACTGTTTACATCACACCAATTCTCTTTGGAGTGCGTCCCGTCTATGGACTCTGTGTGAATGTCAGATGCTTTAAACACCGCATTGTCGTTTTTAGTAATACTAATAAGAACCCGTTTGGACGTAAGAATTTTTTCAACTTTTTTTCGAAAAAATTTCACTTTTTTTCGAAATCAGTGTTTGGCCATAAAATTTTCAATTTTCACTTGAAGATGAATTTTGGAATTTTTTGAAAATTTGAAAAACTCCAAAAAGTTATTTTTCAAAATTTTCACCCAGATCACTCACAAAACTTAAAAAACAACCCAAATTATATTTATGTCAAACAGAACTCTAATTTTCAAATAGCATTAATTTTTTTTCGGAATTTTACAATTCTTATGTCCAAACGCCCACTAAATTTCTTCAGAGGCCAGGTAAGGTAATTTCAAAGCTTAAAAACAAGTATT